AGAGAGTATAGGTAAACCAAAATCATAATAGATAACAAAATCCTTCCGGAAGAAGAAAGAAGGAGCATCTGTGTTAAAAAAAATCAAACCAGCAAAGCAGAACATGAACTTGGGAAATATAACTAGAACAAAATGTAAGTTAGTAAAATGATTATAAAAGTAGGAAAGAAGGGATGATATATGTGCAACATAAAATATGGGGGCTCCTACCAGTGCATAATTGGATTTTCCAGGGAAGAAAATATAAAAAAGAATAATTGTTAATTGAATATAAAGTAGAAAGAGAATTTATAAGCTAAAAACAAATGAACCAACCCTGATTTTAATAAAAGAGTATGTTTGCAGATGGAGCAAAATTCTGACTAAAGACAAACTCCAGGTAAAATATCAAAACACAAGGAAGGGAAAAACTAAAGAATTAAAAAGGCAATAATGAAGAAAAAGCAGGCCACTTAAAAAGGAATAAAAAGCAAATTCCAAATGAATTCAGATTTACTCTGGGGAGAAGGCAAGTCAAACTAACAAATAAAACACTCAGATAAGATGTTCTGAGTTCTTAAGTGAAAAATATAAAAACCAAGTATTGTTTAAACAGTTGAGTGTTTATTCACAACAAAATGATTCTTAGGTTTTCAAGATTCAAGGATGCTGTTATCAGTGAACTGTCCTTTCTTAAAAGACAAGTTAAGATGCATGCTCAATATCTTCACGGGCTGAATATATTTAATATCAAATTTTGCATAAATAAGAACTGGTGAAAGCAACTATATGTATTGAGTTGAGTAATCAGACTGACCACTGTCAAAATGACCAACCACTGTCAAAAAGAGGATCATGGCTAATCAATATAGAGTTTTTTTTTACAATCGGTGGTATCAGAATCAAGATGATATTGTGATTGTCATTATTGTTCAAAATTACTAGCTGGTGCAGTTAGGAAGAAAAGATACAGGCATCAATATTAGAAATAAAATCCTTAAGAGAACAATTGAAGCACTAGTGAAACTAGTAGGAAGATTAAAAAGTTTGATTGTCTGGAAATAAAAATACATAAATAATAAACAAATATTAGATGTAATGTTTTATAAAATAAAATTCAAAAGAAAAAAATGTATGGAAGTGAAAAAAAGAAGGAAAGAAGGCAGAAAATATAATGAAAAAATAACAGCTTTTAAAAATATTTTTAAAAGATTAATATTAAAATATTTTAAATGAAAAATAAAATTAATAAACATGTAGTTCATATAAAAAAACTGCACAACCTACTAAAAGACAGGAAAGATTAGAATAATTGAAGAATCATGCAATATTCCTGGAAAATGCACTATATAAAACAAAATGTATCTAGTACAATCTCAGTAAATATTCTGTTACGTTTTTGCTTCTTATGTAATTATTCTGAACTCAATTGAGACTTTCCCTACAAGTCAAAAAAGGATTTCTAAAACTATAACACTGGTGTAGGTCTGGGCAGACAGATCAGTCATATAGACTAGAATGTACACACAAACTATATAGACGTTTATCTTAGGATAAGGGACATAAAAATTTATTGATGAAAGAATAAGAAACAGGGGTATACTTTATAGTTATCCTAAAATCATAGACCAAAGTTCATTTTAGATGAATTAAAAACAATAACAATAAAAGTGTTGTATGACAATATAGGTCCATATGTGTATAAATGTTATTATTCCAAAAGCATTCCAAATCATGATCTGCAAGCCAAATATCAACACAAAGTTTGATAGATTTGATTGCATAAAATTGTAAGACTTATTTATGACTGAAAACACCACAGATGAAGATTAAAGAAAGATAAAATGTTTAAAACAAATTTTCTATAGAAAAATGGCCAAGCTATATACACGGGCATTTCAAAATTAATAAATTAATATGTCAAAAAATATATTACAAAATGTCTATATTCACTTGTAATTTAAGAAATACAAAATATTTAAATTGAGATGTCACTTTTCCATGTCAGGTTGACAAAAATGTAAAAGAATGATGATATCTGAAGTTAGTAGTATATGAGGGAAAAGAAATCCCTCAGATACAGTTAGTTGGTGGAGGACGAATTTGTAAAATCTCTCCACAATATTATCTGGCAATGTGTATCAAAAGCCAATAAGTATCTAGTCCTTGGAGAAGGACATCATGCTTGGTAAAGTAGAGGGTCAGCAAAAATAGGAAGACCCTCAATGAGATAGATTGACACAGTGGTTGCAACAATGGACTCAAACATATTAACAATTGTGAGGATGGTGCAGGACCAGGCAGTGTTTCGTTCTCTTGTCCATAGGGTCACTATAAGTCAGAACTAACTTGATGGCACCTAACAACAGCATCCAAAGTCTTTAAAAATGTTTATACCCTTTGATCTAGCAATACCACTTCTCCATATTTACCTTCAGAATTAATAAGACACGTGTAGTGATGTATGAAAAAAGTGATTTCTAAGTGCCTCGAAAGTGTGTTCTATTTTGAGTGATATTTAGCAAATACAACTATGTGTATCTGGTTACTTGAGGATTTTAAAGTGATTCAGATCAAGATTCCTTTTGCTCCATTTTTTTTAAATTACTGCCCAATGCCAGAAATTAAGAAAAACACAAGAAATATATAATAGAAAATTAAATTAACATTAGCTGCTGTAACAGATTAACCTCTTAAATCTCAGTGTTTAAAATAAAATTTTGTTTTGTTTTTTCCCCTCAAGCAGTTCAGTGCAGGTATTCTTGGATGGACAGTTATTCTAGGTGGTGACTCGGTGATCCAGAGCTTCATTTATTCTAGTGCTATCTCATCTTGAGTTTGTAGCTCCTGAAATCACCCTGGAATCCTCCCCCATAGAGCCATATGGAAGGAAAGGAGTATGAAAAAGTGGGAGGTGTTTATTGACTAGACCTAAATTCATTGTCTAGAACTCAAGTCACATGGTTATCTCCAACTGCTCAGGAAGCTGGAAAATATAACTTAGCTCTCTGCACTAGAAGAAGAGGGGGGGGGGTAGATATCTCTGCCCCACCATACCTTTCTGATCACCAAATACTTTTTCATCCTTTTCCCACACAGAAACATTGCCACTCTCTCCAAAGAGTCAACCTGAAATCTCATCAGGTCAATCCATCCAACTCAAGGTCTGGGATCCTTAGATGTGCAGGATCTTCTTTATCAGATCTGCTTGCGTTAGTCCAGGGACAAATGAACTAAAAAGACAAGTTATTGATGTGCTTATCTATCCCATACACAGTACCCAATCGTAGAACAAAGACAGGAGAAGCACGATAAATTCTCTCCTTTGAAAATAAAGGAACAATGGAAAATGCAGAAAAGTCACTAACCCATAGTAAATATGAAACCATACCAGCTGGCATTAACCATTCCCTGTGACTTGGCAATAATTGTAGTTATCTGAAAAAACTCGGAGTCTTCTCCGTTTGCTCTTTTTGTGGTTCCCAGTTCTACCCTCTGGAGAGTTGAACGTTGTCAGTCATACTCCATGGGAAGTAGGAAGTATTATCTTGCATATTGTAAAGGTGAAAAGGTAAAGAAACTTGCCCCAAATCACACAGAGGGTAGCAAGTGGTTTATGAATTAGTATAAACTATTTGTAAATTAGGACTTTGTGTGTAGAATTTTTCACTTGAAAATCTTTCCCACAAATGCAGTGCGGTTTGGGGGAATATGCTCTTCATGTGGGTAACACAGCTTTTACAGTCCACTTCTTACGTGCACCAGATTTAGGGGTCTGGAGGTTATTTGACCTTTCAAACAGATTTTTTTTTTTTTAATGTCTAGACAAGTGCTTCTTTGGCACTACAATTGTATTAAAAACTCAATTGACTCCTAATTTATTTGTCAGATTTGTGTGTCTGTAACAAAACTCAGAGTTTTTTTGAAGACGTAATTGCCAGGTGTAACTTATTTCTTCACTTCCTCCATTTCCTAACTCTCTCTTAAATCTTTATCAACTACCATGAAGCTATCTGAAATAATAGGCTTGGGAGGAAAAGCAGTACACTCAATCTGATCTTTGCCTCAGAGCTGAGCCTGAATGGATATTGTTGCTCAAAGCTTCATTCAGTCTTCTTTCTTAGCGTGTGGGTTCTATATATAATTTTCCAAACTTTTGAGTATCCAGATTTTGGGGGTTTCTTTTGATCTTTTCATTTGTGCTTAAAAACTGGCCTTCCTGTACTGAACACATCCCTTTCCTGCAATACCTTTCTAAAGGCAAAATGTAAAAGTGTACTATCAATTTGCCTCTTTCCAGCCACTCCCTCTAGAACTAAAAGCTAAGAAGCACTTAGTTATCAATACTGAGTCATCATCTTTCTCCCCTATCAACAGTTGATACCGTCAGTAATTCCCCACCTTGATATAAATTGTTCCCTTTGATCCGCTGTGATGTGTTCTCCAGGCTGTCCTCCTACCTCAGTGCTCTCTCTTTCTCAGTCTGATTTTCTGAAATTGGTAATTTCTCGGGACCAGTTCTCAGATCTCTTCTTCTCTATCTATACTCACTCTCTTGGAAATTCCATCCATTTCCATGGCTTTAGGTAATGTTTATATACTGAGAAGTCCTAAATTATTATCTCTAGCCCCAGTCTTTCCCATGACATAATTTTATTTAAAAAAATTGTATACCTGTGTTTGTCACACTGAAAAAAAAAAATTTATATTTTAGTCAGAGGTGCGGGGGAAAGAAAGATATACCATTATGCAAAATCACATGCATATTTATGCAGCCTTTCCCTTGAAATGTAAGCTCCATGGCTGTAGTGATTGATGTGTCAAATATTAGGTCCCCAGGTATCTCGTACTTTATAAGCACACAATAAATATTTGATTAAAATGAATAGTGTAATACACATTAATGTGATTATATGTCAAAAGATTTTTTATAATTTTCAAAATAACTCATTCTAATGCAGATATTTACTTTGTGACTAAATAACACACTAACCAGAATAATATTTCTCTCCCTTTTCCAGATCCCAACGCTCTGGCTGGCCAGCCTGGCCCTGACCATGCTCTTATAGGAGGGATAGTGGCTGTAGTTGTATTTGTTACGCTGTGTTCTATATTCCTGCTTGGTCGATATCTGGCAAGACATAAAGGTAGGTTATGTTTACTAAAAGTGCTCTTAACTTTAGCAGCAGAATTTTCTCAAGGTTAGTTTCATCAGAGAATATGAAAATTGTGTGTGTGTGTGAGAGAGAGAGTGAGATTGATTGATCTGAATTCTAAATTTCAGGGAGTTCTTGACTTTTTAACTTTAGAGTTGGATTGGCCTAGGCAAAATAATACTATCCAATGGATATAGTCACAGAGGGAGCCGCTGTCTGTGAAAAAATTATAAGCAAGTTTGTCATTTATCTCTAGGACTGACATCTAACTGTAAAATATCTATCTCTTCTGCATTAAGATTTGGTCAGTGTTTCGTTTGTAAGTTTATAGTCACACATGTGGCCATAGTAGTGAGGAAACTGAGAGATGGTTTGCAATGAGCCAGGTAGCAAGCTATCGATATAATCCACTTTTAAGTGGAGTTAGCATAATGAATGGTGACACATTTTATGCAGTCATTATCACTATCTTAACAAAGGACCCTGATTGCTACAGCTGCATGAATAACATGGTCTACATTTATCTTTAAAGAAATCAAAATTACTCATTACACGTTTCAATTTGACTCTTGCGTCTAGTTCACTTGGCCACCACTTCCTACAACACATACCCGAAAACTGAAACAAAGGGTGCAGCTTTGGAAGAGTGCATTTGTGGTTTATTAGGCCTCAAGATCTGTTTCAAGCTATAAGAGATCTAGCATAAACACCTTCCTAAATAAATGTATTTTCGGTGGTGGCTGTTGTACTGATCTCACAGATTTACCATGTTTTTCTTCCAAAATCCACAGGAACATATTTAACAAATGAAGCTAAAGGAGCTGAAGATGCACCGGATGCTGACACAGCCATTATCAATGCCGAAGGCAGCCAAGTCAATGCCGAAGAGAAAAAAGAGTATTTCATTTAAATGCAGGCCGGGATTCTGAGTTTTACTGACCAGGCTGGCTGCTGGAGAAAACTGGCTATCATCTTTCGGAATTCATTTCTACCATCTTCTGCTACCTTTATTAACTCCCATACTGTACTGCTCTCAGTAGCCAGTGTAGACCAACAATCAGCTGTCGAAAGCATCATTCTTTAATTACCGTACCATCCATAATGCAGGACATTTCTTACTGCCTAAATTTCACACCATTGCTCTTTTAACATACAGTGCTTGAATATACAGCCTTAACAATGTTAATCATCTCCTTGGATCATAATATTGAATTGCTTTTATACATTGAAAAAATGTACGCGGGTTTTTTTTTTTTTTCTTCTCTCTCATTTTTCCCTTTAAATCATAGACCTTATCAGTTTGCTATTGGATAGCTTTTACAAATAACAAGATTAGGTGAAGACCTAATGTGCTTAAGTTAATAGAAGATTAGAGGTTTACAATGTTCTCCACATGTCTGTCTTCAAAGACCACATGTTTGGGAAACATATGCCCTAGAAAACACACACTAAAAACACTGGAGTGTAGTTCCTGGAATGTTTGAGATTACAATGGTAATACTGTATCAATGTGCTATTTAAAAATACAGTATTTGATACAGGAACCATGTGTATGGATTGAAATCTTGACATATAATTATTTAAATCCTACCTACCACTAGTTTAATGTAGTTTCATTTACAAATAAATTGTTCCAAATATTTCACTGCTTTGGGAATCACAAAAATTTCATTCATTTTTTTCTAATTTGATTCTGTAATTTATTTGCTCTGTAACAACTCACCTGCCTACACAAAATTGACGTATTCATAGGGCACAATTTCAAGACATTTTAGTATCTGTATATAGTGCATATAATAAATCCAATTAAACATTATTTGATACATATTTAACTTTTTTGGCTGTAGGTATTTCAGTCATAAGTGAGCATTTTCTAATGTCCATTATAGCCCTTTAGATATTACTTAAACAAATACTATAAGTAGATAACATGTGTTAGTATTTTTGTCTGTATGTCCTAGCACTGTTCAACAACTTTTTCTAGTGCTTGTTAATTTTTATTTGTTATACAATGGAAGCACAATGTTATAAGGAAAGGTAATTTTAAGCTAACAACCAGTGCACAGCCTCAGGTTTTAAATTACAACCACAGTTGAATAATAACCTAAAAATAAACTCTTCGTTTGCTACAAATTTACAAATTTTAATTTGGCAGTTCCAGAGCTGCTTACCTATGTTGATTTGCCAAAAAGAAGTGTTAGATATGTTTTCTGTACAAATGAACTAATTCTTTATATTAAATTCCTGTCTATGCATTTTGTGAGGTACAAACTTATGAAACAGTGAGTGATAGAAAATTTCTGCCATGCTTTTAACTCCAAGCTGAAAGTCTCTTTCTCTGAATTATTTCTGAAATTTTGGATTATGTAACCATTAAGAAATGCTGTATTCTTAAATACAAGACAAAGTCAATTTAAAGTCTTATTATTTCTTCTAGTAAGATACGGTACTGCTAGATTAGTTCTCATGAAATTTGTTACATGCTAAAGAATAAAAAAAACTAGTTAGATAAAATTATTTTCCCATTTGCAAACATTGCACCTTTAAGGAGGAGACAAATATGACTATATGGTAGCTATACTTGTGACGTCTGAAAGCATGATGGCCTATGGTTTTAAAAATAATATCTTGGAATTTATTTTTGGGGTATGAGAATGGTTGAGTATGACATCATGTATTAATATCAAATGAAAGACAAGGGTGCTGTATCTCAGATTATTTATCAGAAAAGTATAAATCTTTTAAGGACAACGTTAGAATTTTTAAATTGTTTTTTTTTGTTGTTGAAGCATTTATCTTGTTGATTTCTTACAAAGAAAAAGGACGATGTCAGTCAAGCAGCACTTTTTCAGAATATACAGAACATAAATAATATGATGTGGTTGAGTGTTAACATAATAAATCATATACAGTATGACATTTTAAGGAAATAAGTCTGCATTGATGTGATTGCATGCATGTTTTTACAGTTCACTCCATACCATCTGTGGAAAAATGCAATAATATGTTAATATAGTATGGTAGTTTGAGAGAATCAGGTAGGTGCTACTAGACACATTGAAACTAGAATAGGTTTATGAACTGTTCATATCTTTCAATGCATAATCTTTAGAAAGACTCCACAAAGCAAAATTCATCCTGTTAGTAAAAAATGGAAAGGTTCTTATTACAGAAATATGTTATATAAACTGCATCATCAATTACTATTTAAGGCCTAATTTCAGGATGTACTTACAAAATTGCTACTCTTCATTGATGCTGTGTTTACATCCCTCTTCATTTTGTCTATATTCTACTTGGCTCCAACTGCTAAATTGTTGCTTAAATAAGTCAATCAAAGTCAATCATTATTTATAGCGCTGTAAAATTAGAAATCAAAAATTGGGTCCATTTCAAGATTTTTCACTCTTTTAACCCTTCAGAGTAATAAAAAAAAACTTAGAACTCAAAAAAATCTAACTGGTATACTATAATTTGTGGGCTCTAATCAAATGTTTCAACAGTTAAATATAGGTAGATTTGAATTAGATATAATTTTCTGTTACTAAAAAAAGAAAACAAAAAGCCTAGTAATGGAATTAGATTCTATCTTTAAAAATTATTTGATCTTCGCCAAACAAGAAAATTATAAAAGTTCTGCCCAGTTCAGTTTCTACAAATCATTAAAAATATATTAAATAAAATTTCTAAATGGGAACGATGTCAGTTACATTTTCTGATACATGCAAATTGTATGCACATTAGAGTCAGATTCTATATCCACTAAGTGAGCACAGTAACTACGGAACTCAATGGAAGGCGTACACACACACACACACACACACACAAACACACATCCCTAGTAGAATATGGAACATTATTCTTTATCAAAAGTAGCTGTTCTCTGCCAGTGTACTCAATGTACTATTTACAGTGTATATCGATTGTCCTCCATCAAAACAATTGTAAACAACATTCTTCTTTTCCTTTTTTCCATTTTTGAGTGTCCTAGAATAATTGTCAAAATCAGGAGGAAAAAGGAAACTTTGTGAGAGCAAGAACAATGAGAGAGCGCATGAGCTAAGTATTGTTGTGTGTGTGTGTTTATGTGTATGTGCGCACACGTGAGAGAGAAAGAGAGAGAGATTTCAACTTGTTTATTTTTACCAGAGAATCCAAGAAGTAGTTTAAGGAACCTGATATTGTAGCTAAATCTAGAAATAAATGCTCTCATATTGATTCAAGATGGTTAGTCTAGCAATGAAATCCCACAAAATCACAAATAGAGAAAGAAAAGTAACTTTCCTAAATATGGCAAAGAAGCCAACACCTCATTTATTTTTATTTCTTTGTAAAAATATAAATATCTCAATTATAAGAAAGGACAAGCTCACTTGTAATTATGTACTCATGACTGTAACAGCATTGAGATTCATATACACACATGTACAGCAGCTCTTTGACAGTGATGGCTCTTCCATGTAACATAGCAGTTATCGTGTAATTTAGTGCCACTTACTGCAAAGTGTTACCAAGAGGAATGTTTAAATTTTACTTTTCCTTTTTCTTTGGACATGAACATAAAATGGATGATCAATATGGAATTTCACATTAAATATTTTAATCGTGGAGAAAACACAAACCCTCATACCTTGAACTGCAACTTCACCTTCACATTACTAACTATGTAGAGCCCTCTAAAAACACCTAATATTATATTATTGCCCTTTGTAAATGGAAATCTGTGATGACTATACCAAAAAAAAAAAAAAAAGGAAAAATAGTCCAGCAATCACAGCAGAAATAAATGAAAATTCTAATGAGAATTACTGATGAGTAATGCTTTTTATTAAGTGGCACAAAGTACACACTAAAAACTATGCAAAAATATAGGTAACTACATTGTACTTACATGTAAGTATCTTGTACTTGCTGTGTATGGATGTTGGAAACCCATGTAATTATAATATGCATTTTGAATATTGGGAAAGAGGAAATCTTACTGTAGATATAAAAATTCGTTGGAAATATACACTGGCAATATTGAAATATACTCAGTGCAATATCAGCAATTCTATTGCTGGGATACTTCGTGCAAAGGGATTTAAAATAATTCTTCAACAAGATCCAAGAGGTTGTTAATCTGCACTTCCCTCATCCTAAAACATTGATTAGAAATACAACTGGCTCAATGACAAGGTAATTGTTCTTACTTAAAGATTAATGTATATATAATTTGGTCTAGTGTTTTAGCATTACTGGAGAGAAAAAATAATCTGATTTTTAAACTTTAACTCACATCTAGTTGAATTTGGAATTCTTAAACTTTCTCTGAGTTTTTTTTTTAAATGGATTACATTACTTTTATTATAAGTACAAACTTCTTCAATCAAAGAGCGAAGGAAATCTTTACTAGTTTAAACTCATTGTTTCAAAGCAATTTTTTTATGTCTTCTCTTTTTCTATTCTTTTTTCTTTTCCTTTCTTTTCTTAGTCTACCCCAAATATGCCCTTTGCACTTATACCCTTCCAAAGTCAATGGATTAAAAGTAGCAAGATGATAAAGAAAGCTAAAGGGGACAAAATATATGAATGGGTTCTAAGCTCATTTGATTAGCATTTTTGTGTATTGAGATAATTAATATTGAATGCAATAGTTGTTGGATATAGCTGGTAAGTTCTCTGCCATGCACACTTGTAATAATCCTTCTACCTCTCACTTTTAACATGGGCTATGATACTTCAATATAAATAGAGGAAGTAATTATTTACAAGATATCCCAGGCAGCATTCTTTCGGGTCTATCATAACAGTGCCCTTCTCAACCCCTGGGAAATCTCAAAAGCCAACTTCTTTTAGTGTATTCCGTAGTGTATGGGTCTGCATTTTCTCCCCCCTTTCTTATCATTATCTTTTCCTATAGGCAAAATAAAACAACTTTGTAAGGACAGATCTTCTCATGCCTATTTAATCTTTCAATGTAATTGTGTTGATTTTTAAAAATAATTTAAATGGCAATACTTTGCAAAACAATCTATTTTATTTAATTTATAAACTGTAGCAATTTCTTATAAATTAATGCTATAATGACAGATAAAAATTATGTGTATGATTTATTTTCCCAAGAAGAGTGATCTTTGTCGACAAAAATTTAAGTTATTTTAAAACTGTCTCCTTATTAACAAATAATCCCTGAATAATGCAAAGTATTGCTACAAATATTCACTTTATTTTGCCTGTGTAGACATAATGTGAAGTTTTCAGAAGACGGAATTTAATTATCCTAAAAGGAAACAGAATTTTAAAAATATTGTTTCTGGGGGCAGAAAAACAAAAACAAAAACATGAAAATATCTTAAACTCTGATGATGAATCTATAAAATACACTTAAAGTAAGGTGTTTCTATATTATGTGGTTATGTTCCAAATAATATTTGGTCTATCTTTACCATCTTTTCCATATAGATGGATGCATTAGTTATAAGAAATGCATGATTATTTAGGAGAGAATGGGGCCAAATGTGAAAAAAGATGTAGAGAAAAAAAAAAAACTATTTTCTCCTATGAAACATACTCTGTAATTAAAAGGAAGAAAAATTAAAGATATTTGAAGATTGCAGGGGCAAAAAACAAACCTACCAGGGCTCAGCACTTAAGCACTTTTCCCATATCCAGGGGCAGAGCAGCAGCGATTCCCACACGGACTTTAAGTGTGGTGTGAAATGCAGCATTACACGTCTCTTATACACAGTACTGTCAAACCTCAAATGCTTTCTTTCTTCAAATGCTTTTCCTTGTATGTGACACTAGAAGACACTTTTCTCTTTATATTTGCTGATAGTGAAAGTTGTATGCAATAAACTATTTAATGGCTGAAAGCAGTGGTCACCCATAGGTTGGGAAAAAACAACAAACCTATGAAATGTAAATTGAACTGTTATATTTTATCCTTTTGGCTTTTATCTGTGTTTCTGATGTATTGAATAATTCCAGTGAAAAGAAAGAAAAATGATTTAGAACTTTTTCAAAACTAGTACTCTTTCTCCTTATAAATGTATAAAGCGTTAATCTCTTTACACATTTATTTAACTGTACCTGCTGTACTTATTGTAGATTCAATGATGCAGTTAAGTAGTAACCCAAGGATTTTTGGGTTTGGGATTGCTGACCTATTTTCTTCATATTTAGTTTACATCAGTATTTGTGAATTGGTTGTTTAGCCTTTCACTCAACCAAAAAATATTCCCTCAAGAAAGCTCCGTTTTTTATCATAAATATTTCAACATAAACAACATTGGAACAAGTCTGCTGTGTTAAAAAGAATTTAAAGACTTATCTCTGAAAATGGCACCAAGAAATGCAGGTGTTCCCAGTAATGTAGCTTCAAAAATAAAATGTTCAATTTATATGACATGGAATTCATAACTTTTGGAAGGGTATATTTATGACAGCATAAAAATAAATTCTGTGCTGTAAAGAAGAGCCACCAGAATTAAGCATATTGCACAGAAGATAAACACAATTATTGAATCTACTTTTGTCATTAATATTTTCAAAAAAACAAAATGCATATTGTAATATTAGGTACGTGACACTTGCATGTTGATATGCCTATATACTTACAAAGTATTCAATGTGTACTTAGTGGCGCTTAAAATATGTCATGTACAATAAACATTCTTACAGGGTTCCCATTTGCACATCATCTTTCAGTAAAGTCTTGTCAGAAAAAAGAAATGTCTGATAAATATTGAAAAAATAAAATTTGAATTTTAGTTATCTGTTGGACATTACTGGATTGTCTATTCATTTGGTTCATTTTCTTAGGCTTGGAAACAGACATTGAATGATGGAACTTTCTTTTTACCACTGACTGGTTTTAAAAAGAGATTTCTTTATGTCAAACGCCTTCTTTTGAATACTTTTTTTTTTTAACTGCATACATTA